CTCTGGCATGTTTTTCCTCTCTAGTGGCAGGGTCAAAATCTTTCTAGATCAGTAATGAATGGAAAGCGTTACTAGTGTAGCGTGAATAACTCACAGGAATGTTATCAACTGCTTTGGAGTGCAGCTAATAGGATGTACGTTCATAGGTAATACTACTTCAGAGGAATTCTCTTTAAGAATATAGAGTCCTTTAGTTTCGTTTTTCTTGAAAAATGAAACCCAAGTGGCTTGGTTATGAACAGCATCAGGTTCTTTGTGATTTGAGCTACCTTTGTTGGTGGATTTCCTGGTTCAAGTTAATTGTTTAGCTTTTCTGTAGCTGGAAAAACACACAGTCATTGTTGACACAGGTATTTGTGTGTGAATGTGTTGTGCTTCTGTGCCCAGGAAAATGATTTCAGTGACAGGACAACTGACTCAAGCAAAAAAGTCCATATTTTTCTAATATTTTAAGAAAAATAGTTTACCCTTGCTTTAAAAGGGGGAACAGTTCTGCTGCCTCTGATGCTCCTTTACAAGAAAGGAGCTGGGGGAAATTGGTCCAGTCCCTGGTGGGTAACTGTTTGCTTTCACAAAGAGGCTTACAGCTAGAAGGTCCCCATTCATCTGTTAACAAAGTTAAGTGCCAGCCCCCAAAATAGCTTAACGGTGCTGAAAGAATGAGACAGCAAAAGAGGAGAGGTGATCCTGGTTGGACTAGGACCCCCTGTGACAACCAGAACTGTTAGCGTCGAGTCTTTCTGTTGCGTATCTGTGTTCATGCAGTGCCTCCTGTAATGAGGCCCTGATCATGACTTGTGCTTCTTGACCCTGCTATAATATAATATTCAAAGAGAAAATGTCGTGTTGAGGCATTTGCTGTAATTTATTTCTGCCATTGTTCTGCCACACCATGGTTTGCAGAAAGGCTTTATGAAAACGAATGCGTGGTTATTGAAAGGAATTGGTAGCTTGAACTGCTGTTTTTTTTCTCTAATGACCAGCGGTCCTTATTCCAGTGATGTTTGTTGTGCCTGCTCTGCTTTGCAGGCTGGTGGAAAAGGTGTTTTTGTCTCCACTATAATTTTATGTGCTGCCAAACTAGCACAAATGGCAGAATAGTTGGCATGAGCACCAAAACTGAGCCATACAAAATTGAAATGATGGCCACTCAGCTGAATTTCCTACTTCTGAAACACTTATTAGAAAACGAAAGGTGTATCGCCCTGCTGTATGTGAAAGATGTGTGTTGTCTTGCAATTTAGAAGGTACTTTCCTTTTTAAAACTAATTTTTCATGTACTTGGGAAATGGTAAATTAAGACTGAAAGTTGGAGCCCTAAAGATAGGGAAACTGTAAATAACTGTTAATCCAGTTGTAACCAAATAAGTGGATGAAACTTGCACACTGGCAGCTGCTTTTGCATGGAGAAATGGATGGGAATGACTTACAGAATATGCTGGAGTCCTGTCTAACCACAAAGTAAGAAACAAGAAACTATTGATTGAGAATTGGCAATTGCTAAATAACAAGAGCAAAGTTACTTTGTTTTCAAAGTGCTCAGTACTGCATATGAATATATGAAAATAATCCCCCAAGGCAATTAACTTTCAGGGTAAAGCTATCAAGTGTACAAGCTTCAGAACTATTTGATATAATCTGTTATATAAATGGAAGATAATCTCTTGCGGCTTAAAAAAAAGTTAAATCTAGAAGGCCTGTTATCTAAGTTGTTTATTACAAATGAAGAAATAGTACAACAAACCCTCATTATCTACAGTTGCGGGTATAAGGGAATTGACTTGAACTTATATTTCAGAGTAAATTAGTAGCATTCTTGTGTGGACCCAGTTCTGAAGTCAATTTGTTCTGTGTTAATTGCTACGCTCCAAAAAATCTCTGTTCCGGAGCTATAACCGCTGACAAGAGTCAGTGTCTGTGTGACTAGATTAAACACTTCAGGACTGTTCTGTAAAGTAAGCCTCTGATCGGCTAATGTTCCCACTATCCTTTGGGACTCCTTTGGGTCAGTTATAGTGAGACAGAAAACCATGTTTTGAGTACTTGGACAGTAGGTTCATGAAATAATGTAAATAAACCTATTGTCTGAACTGTTTTGAGTGAGTCATATCAACACTTATTAGATACAAATTTGTCGTAGCTTATAAAAGTAAAGACAAAGCCAAAATAGCTTTTTAAGCCAATTGTATCCTGCAGTGCAATTGTCTTTCTCGGCAGCTGTTACCCAGGAATACTTTGTTCCAAAAGCATTGTCATTTCATAATTAGTCTCGCACAGTAAAGCAATCAGGTGACTACTTCTTGGGAGTATAATTAAGTGGCTTGTGATGAAAACTAAGGATAAGCAAACTTGGCATGAATCAGAGGCGCTATAAACAACTGATAAGAGCAAGTTCTCCCTGCAAGTGCTTTGTGTACGCAGCATGGCTGTTGTGCACTGCTTTACAATAAACCTGCATCCTTGATTTCAAACATTATGTCTCTTTGTTTCAGGCTGACCTAAACTGAGTTTTTTCCGAACATCATGGGAGAGATTAAAGTCTCTCCTGACTATAACTGGTTCAGAAGTACGGTTCCCCTTAAAAAGGTATGTACAGCTTGTGTGTGAAACATCTTTCAGACGGCTCTTGCTGTGTGGTGGGGGAAACTAAGCAATGCAACTCTGGTTGATGCAAAACAGTTGTGGGTGGTGTGCTAGTGATTAGGTTTATCTACTGAACTGTTGTCCTATGTGTCATCTGAGGGCATGAAAGTATGCCCTTAACTTTCACATGCTTCTTGGACATCACTGCTGCACATGGCAAGTAGTGGGAGGGAGCAGAGACCTGCAGTTAAGAGCCAGGGGCAGTAGTGAGCTGGGAGTCTGTGAGCGTATGTGGAGTTCTGGTGCCACCCTTGCTTGGGGAAGCTCCTGGAAAATAGGACATGTTGGAGACCACAGGCATGGCTTGTCACAGAACTGGCTGTTTGCACCTGCACCAGGCTGATGTGGTGAGGCTGATATGGCTGCAGTACAGCCAGGCCGCCAGAGCCACCTCCACTCTTCCTCCTTACTGGCTTCAGGCTGAAGCAGAGCGTTGGAAGGCAGCTCCTTGGCAGCCAGGCTGCATGCTCTATTCCTGAAAGTGAAAAGATGCTGTAACCACAGTGGAAAAAGACAAACTGTTTCTTCCTCTGTAGGTCCTTTAGATGGCTGCTGCTTAATCACACCGCCCAACTGCTTTCCCCTCTTGCTTGAATTTCTCCATTTCCTTTCACTGAACCACAGAAGAACGTTTGAGGTGTGCAGTCCTCTAACTTCTGCCCTCTACGTGGCAAAGGGCACAGACTGTTGTACTACTACAGAGCTTTTAACCCAGGCTGACTCTCTCTCACCTGCCTTCGTAGACAGGGTTTGCAAAGGTCACGATTACACAGTAACCTGCAGCAGCAGCCCGGGCTCCTGCCGGCCTGTAGGACTATTCTTGCCTTTCCGCCCTGGCTGACTGCTTCTGCAAGCCTGGTTCCTCATGTGACCAGATGAGCTGAGTGGAGTCAGTGAACTATCTAGCTTGGGGGTATTTTATAGTTTGCTCTTTGGCTAAGCTGACATTCGGTTGGTTCAGTTCCCTAGTCTGGCTGGCTGTTTTGGCTGCAGAAACACAGGAGTGGTCCTGGCAGCAGAAGGTGGAGCAGGGCTGCCTCTCTTGACAGCAGATCGGTTGCAGTTGGACCACACTAAAGGGACCATGTCCCTGGACCTAAGGAGTAACGCTTAAAGGTGTTCAGAGTTGTTTCCTGGGTACCTACCAGAGCTTTCTGGGTAGCTTTCCCTAAGAAATCACCTTTAGAGAAGAGTTTCAGAGTTTCTCATTCATTTGTCACCTGTCTGCCTTTTGTGAATAAGTAAGATCCTTTGTTGTGTTCAACCTAGTCTCTGACCGTTCAGCTTTCTTCCATTTCTGGCCATTACTAGAGTCTGCTGGACCTATTTTTTGCTGTTCTGTTGCCTCCAGACAGGGACTTAACCGAGTTGGCAGAGCTGGGAGGCAGTATTTAAGTGGAAAGCTGTGCAGGTGCTCTGAGGCCGTGCTTTATGGGATGCAGTACTGCTGGGGACGTGGTGAAAAGGTGTGTGTGCGTTGCTGTTCCCCTGGGGACCTGCCGAGGGCCCCAGCCTTCAGCTGCTGCTACCTCGTCTGGATTTCATGAGTGAGAACGTGCGTAACCTGAGGCTACCATTGACGGTGTTTGTGGTGGCCTTCAGGCTAGGGGATGCTCTGCCAGCTTGAGTGACTGAGCCTACCCTAAAGGAAGGTGATATCCCAGTGATGAACAGGGGGCATGAGGAAGGTGGGAATGAACAAACCGGCCTGAGTTTCTGGGAAGAGGAAAAAACTACAATTTAAAGACATAATTAATCTTTGGAGCAGTCTCCAGGAAGACTTTTGCTTGCAGTATCCCAAAGAAAGTATAGGCAAAGCACATGCGCTATAGAAGAAGGAGCAACCAACTTCCTAGATCACCAAGTTCATCGTTGCTGTTGATCAGCACACCTTTCTGCTGTCAGATCAACCTATGAGAAGCAGAGCCACAGCTCTCCACTGGAAAACACACTGAGATGCTCCTGAAAAGAGCAGAAAACACCCAGCTCCCTCGCACTTCCTGCTTTTGTCAAATATGGGAAGCATAGCACAGAAAATATTTATTTTAAACTAAATATTTAGCTTTGCCTGTGAGTCTCCGGTTGGGTTTGGGGTCCCTGAAAGTGGATGAGTGCTTGCTCTGGCCTATGATGTTTCAGCTCAGATAAACATTCGACCTGAAGGTCACTCGGTAGTCCCTACTGGAGTAATAATTTTTCCTTTCTCTTCTTCAAATGATTGATTTTTCTTAAAATGCAGAAGTAATTCTTTACCAGGAGGTAACAAAAGGGTGATTTTTATGAGCCGCTAGACAGCGGTGGATTGGGGAATGACTTGCCATGCACGAAGGGGGAGGGTTCCTCCACAAACCAGGCCTGGAGCTGGCACTGGGGGCTGCAGGCCATGTTAGTCCTGCAAGAGCATCCTGCAGGGCTCACCTGCTGTGTGTTGGTGTGGGTACTGTGCAGCTTCCTGAGCATAAAATGAAGGAGGGAGAAAACTTGCAAAATACAAAGCTTGCTGTCTAAAATAAATCCTTCCTAAAAGTCATCAGCAGAGGACACCCTGGCCCTGCTAAAGCTAAGGGATGTTCTACCATCCGTTTCAACGAAATGGAGATCTTACCCAATATGTAAACTGTAAATAATCTTGATGATAGAGCAGAACAAAAAAAGGCCAGTGAGCTATCAAATCAGCAGTTAACCGTGCTGATGTCCGCATATACAGCGTGTAGTATTGTTTTGGACCTGCAGTTAAACTCTCCAGCGTGAGGCTAGAAATCAAATAGAACAATTGTTCAAACCCACTGATTCATTGTCTGGCTTGAGGAAAGAAACATCTCCGAGTCTCAGTACCCTTGATGTGAGCTAGCTTTGCTTATATAGCACTTGCAGGAAGTATGCAAATAAGGGGTTGCTTCACCTGGAAATATTGCTAAAGATAAACTTTGTTATAGCCACCAACAGCTACTGTGAACAGATGAGCGCTGCAAAGCCTAGAGCTCTGGGGTTGCGTACAAAAGTCCTCCCCCTTGAACGAGGTTTTTAAAATGTTTTCAAGTGGTGTGGGTAGCCTTGGTACGTAGTCTTCCCCCCCCCCCCCCCCCCCTTTACTTTTACAAAACAGATGTGATTTCTCACATGCTCCCAGAGCCTGAAATACTGGCTCTATTACAAGCTGATTTGCTAATTGGGCAAATCTGACTTGTGATACACTGTTCTTCTCTGATTCCTTGAGCAGCTTAACTGCTCTGATGGAAAAATGAATTGTGCTTGTATGTTGCTGTTCAAAAAGTTAGTCCTGATTTTTTGGATGAGATGAACTCCTGCTGTATGATGCAGGCTTCCGCAGAGGTTTGTGCCTATTGATCTGATGTGAGCTGTGTGCTTTTGCTGGGTTGTGGAGGTTTAAATGAGTATCTTAAATACATACAACAGTCTACTGGAAGAACAACTTCAGTTCTTTTAAAAAAAAAAAAAAAAAAGAGAGCGAGAGAGTCAGGCTCCAGCCTTGCTAGGAAAGGAGACCTTGACCTAACTCCTGTACTTTTAAAGATACTGGTTGTGCTAGGATTTCAAACTTCTGGCTTGAGATGGGCATTATGAGAAGTTCATCACTAAGGATACCAGCACACATGTGAATCATCTGGTTCAGCCAGCCACATGTCCTAGGGGCTCCAGACACTCCTGTGACATTCCCACATGGTGGAAGCATTTTTTTTTCCAGGTCGGCTTTGCAGCACTGCTTTGGGAATTGTGTGCAGCATCTGTCTCTGGTAGTCAGATATAACTCTTTCAAATTAGTGATTTGTGGTGTTAGCTGCTTAATTCAGTAGATTTAGATGTTGGAGGCCTGGATACATGCTTTGTCCAGTATATCCAAGTGTCAAATAGCTTAAAAAAAGCTGACCACACAGTCCTGGCCCCAGATATTAGTTGGAGGCCTTACCAGCCTACAGCTGTTGAGCTTGATGCTGTGAGCTGACCTCTCCTGGCCACGGCAGGATCGCTCCTTAGCCAAGCACATTTTTCTGTGTATGGAATATTGCTTAAGCCTGATCATTTGGGGTACAGTCTTGCTATTCCATGACTTATTTCTGTATGAATTTTCAGATTAAGGTGTATCATCTTTCTGACTAAGGCCCTCTGAATTAAAACGTAGAACAAACCATTGCAAGCTGCAGTTAAACCATGCTTCTCGCTTGCTTGGTGTAGTTTCTGAAGCATAGTCCATCACTGTAAAGCCAACATAATTGGCAAGTGTTTGCTTCCAGCACTTGCAGTGTGCTCCAGCTGTCCTCAGAAGGGTCGGATCCCATCAGGCACCACCTATTGTCTTGATACCGACTCCAAGCAGTGCAGTGTCACTTACTCGGCTTCTGCTGGGGCGTGCAAAGCATTTGGTCCGATAGTTGCATGACCGCAGTTCTGTCTCCAGCTGTATCCACGCAAGCACTGTAATTTCAGCTGGTAAACGGGCTTAGAGAAAGCAAGCTATTGTGAAAAGGAATAAAAGATGCTCTTATTCAAAGAAATCTTGCGATTATAATATTGACTAGATAAAAATTGTGTAAAAGCAATCCTGGAAGCTGGCTGGAGAAACTCATCTCAGTCTTGTATGCTTACTCTGCCTTCCATGACTCTTCTTCCAGATAATAGTGGATGATGATGACAGTAAAGTCTGGTCACTTTATGACGCAGGACCTAGGAGCATTCGGTGCCCGCTCATATTTCTTCCTCCTGTAAGTGGAACTGCAGATGTATTTTTCCAGCAGATTTTGGCCCTGACTGGATGGGGTTACAGAGTTATCGCTGTGAGTATTCTCAGTCTAATGTCAAAGTTCAGTATATTTGTGCTTGCTGCTCTGAGCAGAGCTTGGATCATGATGATCAACTTCTCAGTTTTGACAGGGGAATCCCAGAAAGCTGATGCTATGTTGTCCTCCAGATATGTAAGGTACAGATGCGGGCTGAAATCTGTTGCAGGTGCACAGAGATGTTTATCCAAAGCCTTGTGCAGAGTGTGAACTTCTCAGTCTGCTTATTTCCCTCATGTGTGCTGAACAGCAGTTGTCTCTTTCTCCAGCAGGAACTTTGTTAACCCTAAGGAAATGTATGGATTGGTGCAGGATCTGCCTTAGGGGTGGTGGATAGTTCTTAAGAGTGCACAGCTGCAAATGCTAAGTCATTCCTTTGTGAAATCTTAACAGCATGTTGTTTTGTGACTTCTCAGCTTCTGAGCTGAACTTAAATGATGAAAGGATTGATTTGTAATAATACTTCAGCTAAACGGTATGGTTTTAAGCATATTGCTGTATCTCTTGTAGCAGTTAATGGTTTTTGTACCTGCCAACTTTACCTGCTACAAAATATCTGGAAATCATTCCAGTCTCTCCCCCTACTGATGACAAAATGAAGCCATTCTGCACGTTCCCCAGCTGACTCGCTCAGCAGTACTTTCAGTTCTGCGTTTCTGTGCCAGGGAGGGGGTGGCGTTCATGCCTTCTAGCTCTAGCAACCTTGCTTTGGAGCTTGAGCCTCGTGACACAGGACAGGCAGGCCTCTATGGAGAGCTACGTGAAGGACTCGAGTTTAACTATAGGCCTTAACTTCGAGTCTGAGTGAATAACCCCTTCTCTTCCTCTTCCTCCTCCCCAGGTTGTGCTAATATGTGAATTGTGACTTCACTTCCAAGCAGACAGCTGGCAGGTACTGATCAGAGAACAGCTTTTTCTAACTTCATGTAATTTTAGTTGCAGTATCCAGTGTATTGGGATCACCTTGAGTTCTGTGATGGATTCAGAAAACTGTTAGATCACCTTCAGCTGGATAAAGTGAGTGCTCCAAGATGGACAGATAGATATATAGTTCAATAAAAATCTAATCTTTAAAAGAGCCTTGTTTAAGAGCAAGTATATAAAATATGATGGAAAAACAGAGCCTAAAATTGCAACATAATCTCTTTCTGTTTATTTTTAAAATAGTTTATTTTTGAAGCATTCACCTTTGAAAATTGTCACACTTCACTAAATGTATTGCTATTCTAAACCTATGTTAAAAATTCAATTATATTGGTTTCGGTTTTTAATGAGAGCCAGTGGAAGGTAGTTCCTGTAGTACAACATGCCAAAATAAAAATAACTTGGATTAGAATAGCTTTTAAAGACTAAGTGAAACATTTGCGCTTTTTTCTTAAGCTTGGTAAGTACATATAAACCTTATTTGAATGCTGATCCAAAAATGTTGTGTTTTTTTTTTAGTTTATCACATCCTATAAACTACAGAATCTGAACTGAAAAGTTTGGTTATCCTCTGAAAACAAGTTATAAGGACAGGAATAAAACCTGATTGACATTCTTTGTAATGGATCAGAATGCTTAAGGGGCACTTGTTTCACAAATGTAATATGATCTGATTTTTTTTTTTTTTTCTTAACCTAGGTTCACCTTTTCGGAGCTTCTCTGGGGGGCTTTTTGGCTCAAAAATTTGCTGAATACACACACAAATCTCCCAGAGTTCAATCTCTAATCCTGTGTAACGCCTTTAGTGACACTTCTATCTTCAATCAGACATGGACAGCAAACAGGTAAGAAAAACCGAGAAAAAGTTGGATTCGTGGCACTGAGTTTTTTTGGTTTGGTTTTTCAATGAAATGTCACACTGATCTTGGTTGCACATGTGTCAAATCTGTTTCCAGTTTGGGTGACTAATGGTGAGGGAAGCAAGTGGCAGAATGCTTATGCCTTTTAAGGCCACACTACAAGGAAAATAGGGGTTTTCACAATTGGCATCATGGATTTGACAGATTAGACTTGTATTTATATTTTTCCTGTAATCTTCTGAGGCTGCATGGTCAGACTTTAGAAAGCATTATCTGATTTCTAGCAAAACAAAACTTAGAGTGAGAAATATAATACTCACTGTGTTCAAAATACACTCATGCAGCATCAGATTAACAGCTTTCTAGAGCGTTTCCAGAACCTGGCTGCAAGGTTCTCCATCTCTGTGCTTGTGAAACTTTGTCTGGACTTTATTTCAAATTAAAGCACAAAGTCTGTGCAAGGAAAGGGAATGCTTACGAAAAAGCATCTTAATCCTGGGATGTTGGGTGCTTGAAGGCCGTTACCTCTTCTTTCTATTTTAGCTTTTGGCTGATGCCTGCTTTTATGCTGAAAAAAATTGTCCTTGGGAATTTTGCATCTGGTCCAGTAGATCCTGAAATGGCTGATGGGATTGATTTCATGGTGGACAGGGTAAGCGGCTGTGTACTCTACTGGCAGTGATGTCGGTCTCTTTGGAAGAATTACTTATTTGTAAGCTCCACTGTCTGTTGCTATTTCTGCTGCTTTCTTCATTTACTTACCCAGAAGTTGAACACTAGGGAATGGAACCTTAGCAGGTGTTGATTGTCACAACTCTAGCAATTTAAGTGATGCTGTGACTAAGACAGCTGTGACTGGCTAAGAAGAAGTTAAGAAACTCAGATGGGAGAGGAAAGGTGCTGGGATGGTACATCTGTAGGCTATGCTCTGGAGGCAGAAGGCACTACCACGTTTTAAGTATTTCTCTCATGCACAGAGATATTAAGTAGGAACTATAATCTTGATCTGAAATGCAATCATGTTTCCCTTTAAGGAAGACATGTTCACTTGTCTTTGGCTGTATTGTTAATATTGCATTAGCTTCCTGCAGTGAAATATGTTGTTAATCGGTATTTCTCTCTACTGGAAGCTGGAGAGCCTGGGCCAGAGCGAGCTAGCTTCAAGACTTACACTCAACTGCCAGAACTCCTATGTAGAACCTCATAAAATTCGAGACATTCCTGTAACTATTATGGATGTAAGTTGACTTTTTTTTTTAAACACTGCTGAACAGGTGGGGCCTGGATATTCTGTTAGAAACTTAAAAATTATTTGCAGCAGCTAATTTCATCTCTAGATATGCCTTCTACTGACTGGGCAACACAGTGATGTTTTTGTCATAAATTATCAGTTGGGAATTTTGTGCAATAACACAGCCAAGCTCAGGAAACTTATACGATGGCATATGATAGCATTAGCTTTCTGGCTGTTGATGCCTAACCTGTTTGCTGTTTCATCAACATGATTCTGCAGTGAAGCAGAGTCCTTTCTAGGAACAGCATATATCCAGTCTGATTTGATAAATCAAATCTGATTAGAATCAAAATTAACAGTTGTGACTTGTTATGTAGGTGTTTGACCAGAGCGCGCTTTCGACTGAAGCAAAAGAAGAAATGTATAAGCTTTATCCTAATGCCAGAAGAGCTCATCTCAAAACAGGAGGCAACTTCCCGTATCTCTGCAGGAGTGCTGAGGTCAACCTGTATATTCAAGTGAGTCTCTGCATTCAGATCTCCTCTACTAACACATACAGTTGAAACAGCAGTAGGAAACTCCTTCTTCTGTGCCCACTCTATTTCTTAACCTGCCTGGGCTCCGTTTGCTCTGCTTCTCAGGTAACTGGTACAGAAGAACAGGCTGAGAGCAGCCACATTCATGGGGAGTTGGCTTTGGGGGCTTTTGTCTGTTTCCTCTCTTTTCTCTGAACTCCAGTACTCCACAGCAATGAATTTCATCCTCGTAGTGATTCATCATAAGTGATGTTTCTCTGTTACTGAAATATTATGCATCTATACCAGTTTCATGGTTATTTTCCATGCCCAACAGATCCATTTACTGCAGTTCCATGGTACCCGGTATGCAGCCATTGATCCCTCTATGGTTAGTGCAGAAGAACTGGAAGTCCAAAAGATCAGTCTTCATACTAGCAGTGAGCAAGAAGAACAGTAGATTTTTGACTATCAGTGAAAATGATGAATCAATTTGGTCTTCCTGTGTACAATCAATTGTTCCCACTCTGCCTTTTTCCTTATGTTAGCCGATTAGCACTGTGTGATTCCAGCAGGATCAATGGTCAGTGAACTACCCGAGGACAATAAACCTACAACAGTGTAATGGGATTTCTTTGTTTAATTTTTAGTCTTTGGATTCAAGGAAGTATCTTTGAAGACTAGTTTTAAAAACAAAGACATTTTTGCTACCAAAGTCTTCACCTTCGTGTTCTAAAACAGAGCAGTATTTCTTTTTATATTTTCATTCAGCTGTATATAGTGCCACATGCAGTTTATGTACTTATAAGCTGACATATTTTTGTTGGACAGCGGTTGAAAAGATGTTTAAGTGCCAATGTTGCCATGACTTATTTGCTTCATATGTTCTGTTGAAAATTACTTTCTATTTGAAATACAGCATTTGAATTTTTAACTTTCTTGCTAGCTGTTAAAAATGGTTTTCAATAAAACTTCACTTTCAACAAGTGTCTCATTGCTCACTACAAGAGAACAGTGGTATAGATTACTACAGTCCGTGGTGTACCTCTTCTAAAGGTGGCTATGTAGAAATCCAGAAAGCTACTACCTCTGGCTCGGATTCACCTCACACATGGAAAAGCTTTAATTATAATGGTTGATAACCCAGTGCAAGGTTAGCTCTGAGTAAGAATTATGCAATATTACATATAAAGGATGGCTAAGATGTAATCTCAGATTTAAAAGTCAGATTTATTGGAATACAGACACTTTCTCTTGAAACATTGTAAAAAATAAATATAAAACCTTACATGACATTGGTGTTTAAGAGAAAAAAGTGTGCCCTTGTCAGAGGCTTTATAAGTAACAGATGGCAACCTCTTTTGAGCTGAAACAGTAAAGACATGCACTTACACAGTGGTCGAGACTACCTGATACCAAGCTATTCTTAAGCTGACTCTTTTATTTTTCCCCCTTAGATGAGTATTCAGCTATGTATGTCCCAAGGTAAAGGAGATGGACTCTTCAAAGCCATTTTGTGATGTTTTCCAAGCTGTAACCTTCTAAAGAATTTGCCTCTTTGATTTATAAATAGTATATTGACATATTTTAATTTTCTTTTCTGAAACTTTTTGTGAAGAGAGTCTAAACTGTAAAGATAATAATCTTTAAGGTTCTAAGAGAAACAAATTGGTAGCCTTGATCTCTCCAACTGGGTGGAGAGAGCGCTGAGAAACACTTCTCTGTTAGCATAGGAATTTGGTCAGAAGAAAACAGTGAGGTTAAACAATTAGTTTGTAAGGCAGAAGTGATGGACCAAAAAAAGAAAAAGGTTGGTAAAGATCACTACTTAAACACAAAGGCTTTGCCTTAATTAACTTATAAAATTAACAATAAAAAATTTATATAGAAAAATGTGTAAAAAAAATTACACTATTTTACTGTAATATTTCCTGATACTCAGTCACAGCATGACAAGGGAGGCTTACTCACTTTACTACTATTAAAGTAACCAAAACCTGTGCAATAGCAAATAAAAATCTCACTTTATTTATTATATAAAGTGGCATTAAACATTATTAGCATCTGCTGATCATCTTGTTTCAAAACAAGAAGGAAGCAGCAGTGATGCCAACTTCTTATGACACAAGCCCTTAAATTGTAGCTGCCTTCTGGTGAGTGGTAAAGCAAGTGTTTCTCTTGTAGCTCTAAGACAGCTGATGAAGCATCAGCTGAAGAGACTGCTCCTGCCCTTCAGATATTACATTGCTATGCACTTCCTTGGAGAAGCAGAGTCTGCATTTGCTTTTTTCCGAATGCTTTCTGTAAAAGAAGAGAGAATGTTCTCAACTCTAGTGCATGGGGTATGTCTTGATAAGACCGGTCAATGGTGCTGTATGTTTACTACAGCGTGATCCTTAAGTTTTACATTTACCGGTCATTTTCCTTCTCCAGGCATGTGTCCTGCTGCATAGAGAGTACAAAGCTGTGGCAAGATGTGTTAGTTCATTTATCAAAATAAAAGATAGAAGAAAAAACTGCATGTGTAATGGTAGCAAGCTTCACACAAGCTGGAAGCTACTGTCCATTGGCTGCACTTAATTTTCCTTGGTGCATGTTGCACCAAGGAATTCAGATAGTGCTCAGTGTGTATTATCTGAAGGAAGACAAAAGCGTTACCTGCTAAATCTCTTCTTCCAATCCCCACAAGACCTTCATATAATCCCTTGATTGGATTTTCTCCTGCCATGATCACACCATGGAGCCAAATAAGCAACATCCGATGGCCGTGTTCCCTGTAACTTTTAGTACCTGGCAAGATTAATCCACAAATTAAATCCTGTGCTTTACAGTGCACAGCTCTGACTTGAGCCGATTTCTAAATTGGTGGCTTTTGACTCCCTTCCTCTTTGGAATTTACTATGTAGCTCAGAAGTACGATTCGGCTTAATCGCCTGGTCGTGGGCCGATGGCTAGAGTAATATTCAACTTAACGGAGCAGGCCACAGATAAGCTTGGACTTGTCATATAACATTTTATGGAAATAAAGAATTTTTGCCCTCAGTGCATAGCCTCGCCCCCCGCCTGCACTGTGTAAACTACAGGATTCCCTACTGTAACCAAACTAGTGGTGATCTGCTTCCAAAACTCAGAAATCCTGCTTTTACTAACATAGCTGTTACATTCTAACTGAGACTCTACTGCCTTCTTGGTTCAGCTCCCTAAAGGAAAAAGAACGGCAAGTTTCTCTCCTGTCTTAGAGGACAGTAAGAGTTTTACTTGATTTCTGTAGTAAGGACTCACAGGTCTGGTACCACCTCAAAAGCAGCGAGCAATAGACCGCTACCCCTGTGCTTGAGAGCTGTGGGCTCTCCTCCAAAGCAAATTCGAGTGAGTAGGTACTTCTATGTTCATTAGAGCATTTCAAACCCAATCTTTTGGTGGTTGCAGCTAAACCAACTGGTTTCCTTCATGTTTTTCTAGTACTGCAGACTTATCTCCTAGAAATACAATCCAAGTGAAGGAAAGAAAATATCTAGGATGTGGTATATACCTGTCCATTGTTGCTCAATGGCTCTAATGTGCGCATCAGTGAATTTCCAGTAATGTGCCAGCTTCTTCCATTCACCAGGTTTGAGGTATTTAGTAGCTAATCTCCACATTACTGAGCGAATGTGCTGTGTTTCCAGCCTGTGATCTTGCTTAAAGGTCAAGTGTTTTGCCACCCAAGAGTCAGAGTCACTGTTTAGATTGTCCTGCAAAGTCAGAATAGGAGTTTCAGCGTGGGACAGTGGAGAAGGTCTGCTATCACTGGGGCTTTTGTGGGAGGAGAAGACACAACCTGGCGCCCGTCCTGTTGCTTTGGGATGGTAATTGAGCTGTCCTGCTAGTAAGTGAGGTGCTAAGCTGCATCTTGTTCTCATGTTAATCTACAGTCGGGTCTGCCTTGTTTCATTTGCTGACAGCCTCAGTGCAGCTGGGACAGTAGTGTTCTCTACTGCGTTGGCATTGCTCGCATCAGCCTTGTCATGCTTCTTGGACTAAGACCTGCACATGCCCCTCTGGTACTGGCAAAGCTTTTGTATGTACCTGCCAGCCTGCCATCTCCCACAGCCTCAGCTTTGCAAGTCCCTGTAAGTTCATCCTGGCACATCACATTTCTTTTTCTTCTTGTTTCACCCTGTTCTAATCACGTATGTTAACAAATACTGTTAACAGCAGCTTTGCTGTGCAAGTCCTTGTGGATCAAAATTTGCATTTGTACAGGGCCTTTTATCTGGGGCTTGCATGCAGAATCATTTAATGAAGTCTTGCTCCCCTGTGACACAGGCACGTGCTCATGTTCTTTACATGCAAGACTGCAAAGAGGCTAAACGACTTTGCCTAGGGCTGCACAGGCAGCCTGTGAAGGGCATGGTACAGAACATTGCTGCTGAAGCTGCACCTATGCCACAAACCATCTTCCTTTCCCCCTCTAGTGTGTTATCTTTCCTTGTGTGGGAAGATGCACTCACTGGGCCTAATGAAGAGGTGAGGGATGTGGCATAAGCTGTACTTTTAACACGCCCTCTGCTCAAACCTCCTTAGGCACAGGCTCAGGGTTGGTACGGTTTCAGATCGGGGTCTGGGGCTGACCAGCCGTGCCTCGCACACAGGGTCAGGGGAGGAGAGAGACACTGGCGTGCCACACTGGGAAAACACAGGAGGTACAGTCTCAGCTGTAGGGAAGTCTGAGAGGTAGGCTGGCTATATGAATCCAACAAGAACTGACTGCTCTGCTAGTGAGAGGTAAGGAGATCTGTGGGCAGGCCAGGTGCCTCCTTTCCATGGGGAATAAAGCACCACTGTTGAAACTCTCAAGGGCCCATACACGTTTGGGGACCTTGGGCCAATCACTTTCCTGCACTGCGCTTCAGTTTCTCCTTCCAAAAAAAGGCAATGATACTACTTTCTCTGCTACAGGGCTTTGGGTTGAACTGCCAAAGTATCTTTGAAAAACCCTGCTCCCTTTAGCACAGCCTGGGGCTTTTAGCAATGGAGGCTTTTATGAAAATAAGGAAAGTCTTAAGTAGAGTTGGCGGTTGGCATGGTGAGGGCTCTTGTTTTTCTTAAATAAGGTGATGAAGTGGAGGCCAAGCAGTCACAGGATGTCCTGCATTTCTTTTCCCTTTGACAGTTCGGAATGTAGAGTCTCAAGGGAGAGGATACAGCTACCTCTGCCCCGGAAAACAGAGAGGGTTGTGTAAACGGCTCACCTTTTCCCATTTGTAAAACCGATCAGCTTTGATGATCATGTCTGCCAAGTTGATGTGATTGCCTCGGGCAGCGACATCTAAAGATGTCTTTCCTTGCTGAAATCATAGAAGGGGAAAAATAAGCTGAAAAAGGCTTTGCAAGCTCAGAAAGTACAATCTCCATACCCACCTAGCAGTCTTTAACTTGTTTTCTTAATGCTTAGGTAACGTAGAGCAAGCAGGCAGCACGGCCTGTTGAGTAATGCACCCAGCTGGGATGTAGGACACCGAGTATTATCTTGGATGTGATCTAGCTTCATGCTACTGCATGCAGGGCAGGGGGGCGGTTTTCATCCAGGTTCTGCAGCCTGTCTACACATCTCCCCTTTTGCCACGGGAGAGCCGTGAGGCTGGCAGCAGCGGCTGATAACACATCCTGTAACCCACACTGGATTGCACAGTGCCCAGCAACACGGGTGCAGCATTCAAAGGACCAGCTCAGCACCTCAGTCCGAGGTGTTTTATAGCCTCTCGCACAGCAGATTTGTTGACACATATGCAGCTGAACTGATTTATGCAACCTCATTAATTTTATATGATCCATGTATGTGTGATTAGAAATGGTCTCCTAGGAGACAGCACAGGCTGGTGGGACTATGAAAATGTAACTACACTCCCTACATGAACATGATTCTGGATGAAGCGAGCATGTGTGAGTGGAGGCTGTTATGTACGAGTGTCAAAGTACACAGTAGAAAGGAGCAAGATTTGAAAGACGCATGAAAGCAAGTGAGCCAGCCCAGCCATCAGGTATGCCAGGGAGTGGGTCTCCAGACTCAGGTGTGAGCAAAGCCTAATTTCATACAGGAAAAGGTGTGAACATGTTCCCTGGGCTCAGTCTCACTGTGATGCCATAAACTGCTGGAAGACGGCAAACGTTCATTTTGGCTGAAGGCTAAGTTCAGCCAGGTGACTTTGCATCTGTGTATACTTTAACCCATTTGCAAATATTAGATACTATGCTAATCTGTGGCCAAGGCCCCTTCAGCATTTTCCCTGCACACACACTAACTGCCAGGCTGTCCCAGGGTCATGGACAACTTGCCTGATGCTTCTGGAATTCCTTCTGTTGATTCAGTTTGGAGCCAAAGCCCTGGACACTGGGGGCGAGATCTATACCAGCCAGATACTTTTAATCCACTAGAACATTTACACTGTGATCCCTGGGGTACATTATTTATTATTATTAATATCTAAGATCTTCTGGAGTAATGTGCACAATGGTACAAGCAGAAATAGCAGGAACTGGAACAACTCTGAGAGGAAAGTTTACTCTTTGTGTGAACTATTTTCTACCTTCCTAAGAACCAGTCACTTCCTCCCTGCAAAACACAAAAAATAACCTGCTCAGCAGTGTTTTAAGGTCTTGTTCCCCCCAAATATCCAGATTTTAATATTACTGCTAGTTTTCCTTAAAAATCAAAAAGAACAACAACAAAGACAATACCTATTTTTCCTCCATACCCCCTCAAAACCTATTCAACCCACAATGACATTTACCTTGTCTGTTAGCTTCAGATTAACTCCTGCAATGAGAATCATCTCGGCAATGTCCTGCCTGCCATACTCTGCAGCAATGTGGAGCGAAGTCTGCTGCCTCTGCAGAAGACGGAAGAAAGGACTCAATTTCTGAGAGGACAAGCTGGAAGGAAGGGTTGGAACAGTACCAGGAGGTAGCACTGGAAGTACTCTCAGCTCTGCCCTCCTTTTCCCTCCACCCCTTTTTTAAATGGAGGTAAACGCCCTCCTACCTTGAACTGGGGCTGGAATTCCAAGGGCAGAGCAGACCTGGTCTGTCCCTGCCCTGTCCCAGCGCTGGCACTGGGAAGCCTACATGGTAACATTTCAGTCTGAAGAAGGAACCTATTCAGTTCTGTAAAGCTCCCTGGAGCCACTTACAGGAATGTATTAATTCCCATTATGTAAACGATTTCTGTAGGCAGATAGGTCAGCTAAGGGGGGAAAGACCTGCGCCAATTCTTTGTTTCTGGGACGCAGAGCCTCCTTAATGTGTATGCATGGTAATGCAAATGCATCTTGGGATTTCTTAATACAAAAAAATCAAATCAAACACAAAACATGGCAATCTTGTGGTGGCATCAGGAGAGATGTCACTACAAGAATGAATGTTAACTGAAACACAATTAAGTTACCCATTTGTTAGCAAAGCCTCTCATTCACAAAACTACAGTTTGGCAAGAGAACCAGCTACCTCCAGGCTTGCTTCCCATTCTCAGTCCCCCAGACATTTTGCAGATTTTCTTCTGGCCTGAAATTTCTCCCATATACTTCCAGCTGGGAGGCGAGATTCTGACTATGCAAGGTCCCAGGGACACGGCACAGCGCACATGCTGAGCGCTATCAGCCGATTACCTCACCGCAACACTCAGAACCATTCCACAGGTTTCATGCTTCCCAAGTTGCACTTCCAGGTTTTCCCCATTTTAAAGCACTGTTCTTTACTCCTATCCCCAAGGTGATCAAAGTCTCCATGAAATGCGTTCACATACCAAAGGTGAAGGACAGGAGCTACAGCCTTACGTTATCTGGAATGTCAAGGTCACACTCCGCATCAATGAAGATCTTCACTAGGGCTGGGAAGTTCTGTAGCACAGCAATGTGCGCAGCTGATGCATTTTGCTGTGGAAAGAAGACACTGGCATACAAAATTCAAAAGGCATTGAGGTCCATGGGTTGGTCACATACAGCATTTGGAATTCAAACATCCTCTGAGGATGCAGAGGCTTGACAGAGGCCTTTTGTTTTGCTGAGAACAACGACACAGAGGGCTACACAACAGGATGAAGGACCAGCTGATGAGCAGGCTAACGCTTGCATGCTCTTTCAGCAGCCAGCACTATTGATGGAACAGGAGCAGGGTACAAGAGTTCAGGACCTTTGCACCTGCCCTGTGCTTAAGAGCTTAGCTCATGGCACCAAATGCACTGTGCTTTTTGCATCCTGCCTACGATAAGGCAGCTGCCAGCTTGGCCTGGAAGGAGGCCTGGCAATACTGCCCACCAGCACACAGCCCCACAGCAGCACTGGCCCTTGCAGAGTTGCTCTGCGCTCCTGAACAGCTCCACAAACCAGCCTTGTCTCTTCATAAGCGATGAGACTATTGAATGGGACTTACATAATTAACAGCATCTATGTGGATTCCTGCATCCATGAGGACCCTGGCTATCTCCTCATAGCCATGCAGTGCTGCATAATGAAGGCAGTTCATCTTCTTCTGAGAGGCACATCAAAAGAGATTGGAATTAGTCAGGGTCCCTTTTTAAACAAAGGACCTTTGTTGCCCTCCAGTCTCTTCCCATTTCCCCTCAGGGGCTGCAGGTGTTACAGACCATCCACAAAGATCTCCCTGCTTCCCTCCTGCAAGAGCCCTGTGCCCCAGTACTGAAAAATTCACAGGGACTGACTCCACAGCCAAATCGGACCCAGAGCAGTTTCACCTGGCTCTTTGCCTGTGCAAAACCTCATGTTCTTTTCTCAGGACTCCTCAGGACTCTTTCTGATGTGCTGGCCCCACACAGCCTTACCCTATAACATGTGCCCGCCCTGGGAAGCCACAGGTCTGGACCCAGATCCACAAGACAAATCCACTAACTCAGTGGGAAGTGGGCAACGTGTGAGTTGGTTGCTCAAACACAGGTATGGCTTGAGCCTTGGAGAGCTCCCTGGGAAAGAGGTATAATGCAGTGAAATGGCCACGGGAGCCTGACAAGAGAGAAGTGGAACAGAGTGCCATGCTAGCTCCAACTTTCCTAAGCAAGGCCTGAAACCGAGACCTTCTACAGATGCCCTGCCATGGTGGCAATAGAAATGCAAAGGAATCTAAAAAGCGTGAATAACTTCTGTGTCCAAGAAGCTCTCACTGGAGACTTAGTGATTTGATGCAGGGCTCCTCCACGCTAACACTATGTCAGACAGCAGCTCTCCAGAAGACAGCCAGAAGCTAACCCTGCACAGGCTGCTGGCCGCACCCAGATGCCTGGACCACACGCTCCATAGGTGCTGCGGTCACGCTATGGAAAAGCGTCTGGAAACGGAATCACCTCCAAAGAGCTCACCTGGGTTTGGGCATTGACATCGGCACCTGCCCCCAAGAGTAGCTTCACACAGGCGCTATGTCCCCCCTCAGCAGCCAGGTGCAGAGCTGTTAGGCCTTCCTGGAATAGCACAGGATGAGAGAGGCAAAAGAGGAGACGAGCAGCAATTCTGTACACAAGGCCAAGACAAAGCAGCAGAACAAGCAAGCCTCCCGCCTATCTTTCTAATCCATGACGTTTTAAAATACCAATTCTGAGGGCCAGGGTTCTCTGACTCCAAGTGATTCTTAGAAAAAAGGAAGCAATTATCTGCCACCAACGTATCACAGTCCTGCATTATCCTTATTCCACTGGTGACTGCTGGCCCATGGGCCACACAACAGGCATGATGTTCATCATCTTTTCTTCCCTTGAACCCATTTGCAAACAACAGGAATTTCACATGGACACTGGAGACAAACCATTTCTCCCGAGTAGCTCAGAGAGCCTTAGGCAGAACTAGTAACCCAAGGCCCTGGACCACTGGTTCTCCCTTCTGAGTGCCACAGCTAATTTTTTTTTACAAGAAAACAGAAACCACCAGAATTCCCAAGTGAATTAATCTGGTTTTACTATTGCTCCTTCCACAGAGGGCAGCTGTTCTGGAGGAGCCAAATGCTACCAGAGTTGCCATGTAAGACGGATTCCCTTTTCTTTCAGGTCTTATCAGAATCAAATACACTTTGCCAAGACAGCAATCAAATAAGGCTAAAAAAAAAATTCTGATAAACTTAATTGGGAGTGTGCCCTGGAATAAATAAAGACTCTACTGAGCCAATATTTGCTATCTCAGTCATTAAGTATGTTCCAGCCATAGAATTTTCCAGAGTGGGTCTATCAAAGAGAGAGGCTCTCAAACAGAAGGGCCATATGTTCAGTGCCTAAGTCAATACTATAAAGCACAGTGAGGTTTAGCTTAAAACATCCTCAGTAATGATTTAGGCACTTGACAGTACAAGGGTCAGGGAGAAAAAAAGGGAGATAACTGAGTGATAAGGTAGGTCAGCAGGTACAGCAGGAAAAAAATGAGACACTTTACAACTGGTCCAAGAAAGATGTTGCCTTTAACTGATACTCTGCAAACGTGTCCTGCTTTCAGATGCATACGTTTTAGATAAAATCAGCTATCTTCAAAACTTGTCCCATCAACACTGACCATTCAGCCTGATGACTGTGGCAGAAGAGCATTTCTAAAAAAGGGAAAGGGTAAAATTTTTGTGGTTTTCATTTGATTTAAATATACTTACTAAGTTCTTTTCATCAAGATCCACTCCAGTGTCTACAATCTTCTGCAGCACAGAGAGATGTCCATTTTTAGCAGCTAAATGCAATGCTGTATTCTTTTCCTGAAAGCAAACATCATTTCATATGCGTGTATATATTAATATATACATCTCTCTCTCTCTCACAGGACTGAGTGTACAGACATAGCATCTTTGCACAGAGTATATCCAGGGTGACTGAAAAGTAGGTTGTAACCAGTAGCAAGATTCTCAAACAGTTTTCTAACAGGAGCAGCAGGAAGGCAAGAAATCCCGCTATCAAACTGAAATGTGGCCCACCAGGTTTGCCGTGTATGCTGTCTGAAAAGTCCTGGACAGAAATCCAATGTGGGCTGAGATGCAAATGGCTTGTAAGTATATGGGGAAGAAAAACCATGGCATACCACAACCACAGCGATAACTGCTCCCAACCTGCCTGCACTAGCCTCATTTGGTGGCCTGTTCCCGGACTCTCACATCCTCTAATCCTTGGACTTTCCCTTACTTTGGGTATGGTTTTATGCCATACCTTGTCTTCAGCGCTGTGAGAACAACCCAGTCGAATTAGGAACTCCACCACCTCCAGCTGCCCATACTCTGAAGCCAGGTGAAACGCCGTCCTCTCTGTCTTTGAAATGAAGCAGAAAGAAACGCAGTCCAAGAAAGGCTCAGAAGATCATTTCACCTGCTGCCAGCAATACAATAATGCCTTGGGCGATAACCCAATTGCACAGTGAGCTTAGTGTCCACATGGAGAAACAAAGCGCTGCACTTCAAAGACAGTTATCCAAAGCCCCAGCAGTAAACTTTTATTCTGCTTCAGATTTGGGATGATCCTAACAAAACAATCTGAACAGAACCACCCACTGGTACTAACAAGTCCAAGCACTTTGGTCTCACCAAGAAGGAAGAGACCTTTTCAATGTTTCGTACACAGAAAGGATAATAAAAAGTTTATCAAAAGCAATTAAGGATAAAATACTGAATTAAGATCTGAGATCTCAGTTATCAAGTGAGTCCCCTTTTGGGGAAAGGTAGATCTCTTGTTGCTTCATTTAACCCCTGAACAGCAGAGCAAGGATCACTGTAGGAACCGTGGTGACCAGCAGGTGGAAAAGTTTGCTTGCCAGGTCCTGCACGTTTCTATGTTGCCTTCAGAAAAGGATCAGCTGATGCTGGATCATGCGGGGAGATGCTTACTTATGGTTATTACTTACCTGCACCACCCCTGGGGCATCAGTTACAAGGGAGAAGGACAATGAAGCTCCTGAATTTGTTCTCCAACGGGCTATGTCAGGAAGCCCTGGCTGCCAAAGCGTGGGATACCCTTGGCACTTTGTAAATACCATCTGTCTCTGAGGCTCAGCCACACTCTTCCCAAGGTGAAGAGGAACATTCATGCTAAGCTCAGAAGAGCAAGATCAGACCTTGTGAAACAGACCAGTGCAGTGCCTTCCTACCTTGTCTCTCCCATCCACACACATGTCCTCCAGGTCTTCCATGATGAACTCCATCACCCGGATGTGTCCCCTCTGAGCTGCGCAGTGGAGCAGGTTCCTGCCATTCTGGAGAGGAGACAAAGGACTATTTGCTTAACAAGTGCAAGACTGCAGAGCACAATTTTTTAACAGCCTGCTCCTTTTAGCAAAGACCCATCCGATGCCTCCCTGCAGCTCCAGGGCTGAGCTAATTTGTGCTGCAGACAGCAAGTTATGACTCTGAAATATCGGAGCTCCTTTTTCCAACCAAGGTTTATTTGTAAATACATGGACTGCTGATTTATTACACCTATTTCCCCTTTCTATAACATCTTCCACCTCAGCACTGCACAAATGTGAGCTGAGAAAGCCTCGTGCATCTCTACAGCAACAATTATTATAGCTGCTTTAGGAATAAGTCCAGGCTTAAAGGTAAAGATGACTTCAGTCAAGCTTACACTATCCAGTAGAAGTGCAGATGACAGCCTCCACAGCAGATGCTGTCATGTGCGATTACCTTAGCTCACAGGTAACCCTTCCTTTCTCTCCCTGTCACTCTCTGGCTCTGCCTGACGGAGCCATGTTGGAAGACTCTCTCTCACCTTATTGACACAGTTAATCTTGGCTCCGGCATTGACGAGGATCTGCAGGACGCGGAGGTGGCCAAACCAGGCAGACAGGAGAAGTGCATTCATCCCAAACTGGGCAAAAGGGAAGAGAGATGCTTTTAGCTAAACTGCTGACCACCACCATCCCCACCCTGGAGGGAAGCTGCCCCTCTAGCTTCATGAAGTTTCCCAAATGTTTCTATTTCTCTTTCTTTTTGGCCCACTCTCTCCCCAGTTACCACTATTCCTGCTAGATGATCTCAGCAGCTGAGCAGACCTGCCTCTTGACTGCCCCTTTCTAGTTAATAATTAGCCTGGTAGTTGGGAGCGGGAAAATGAACTTGCTGGCTGCTACTCTCTCCAACAGGCCCCATCAGCCTGACCAGAGGAAGCAGAGCGACCCGATGCTATAGAGAAAACCTCCCACATTCTCTCAGACATATTTCTTGGTCACTGGGCATTCAGGGAAAAAGGCCAAAAGGCCTAAAATCAGGCTTGCTCCCAAAAGACACTGCACCTCCCTCAGTGGGGAGGCCACAGCTTTCCAAGTATTGCAATGCCTCGTGCCACCCGCTTGGGACTAAAGTGCAGCCTGTAACTGCTGGCCCAGCACCCAGTCCCCCAGCACTCCCCAAGTGCAGAAAACATTTGCAGGACATGCAAGGAAGATTTGCCTTCATACACTGTCTTCATCATCCAATGGGGCGTCATGGTCCAGGAGCAGTCGCACAGCCTCCTCATTCCCTGCTCCCGCAGCCCAGTGCAGGGCAGTTCGGTCTGTCTGCAAAGGAAGGAAGGAGGGAGGCAAGACTGACGCATGCTGAGTGCCTGTGGGTATCCTCCGGCCTTCTTGCAGGCCAAGATCCCCTTTGCCATTCATGGAGCCAGAATTTCCTGCGCTGTGCAGGGTTTCTCCTTGCTCAACTACCTGGCACAATGTAACCTCAACTGTACACTTTCTGCTCAGAAACTACAGTAATGGACTACAATGACAGCACAGGAATGGGATGTATCATTGCCTATGGATGGATGGAATAAAACAGTAGGGATGGGTGCAAAACCATATTCCCAGGAACCTAACGGCCAACACGGGGACAGCTGCAACAGGAACTGAGTCAGGCCCACAGCCTTGGCATACAGAGGCAGCAAAATCAAAGCCTTTCATTGCAGCCATGTGTATCTGACACACTTGTTCCAAGGGGAACCATAAATTATCATCCTTCCTCAGTGTTTGCAACTTTCTAGTCTGGCCGGGATGTCAGTGCTGTGGACTTCAGCATGTTGTCAGACTGCTTGCTTGCCATAGGACCTATTCAACACTGGGTGGAGTATTTTAAAGCTTTGACCAATTGAGCAGCTAATGAGGGAAGCAGCATAACAGAGTTGCAGTTCCAAAACATGCCCTCAGCCCTGCCTGCAGCTTGGAGGTGGGAAAACCCAGGACTTGCATTGTTTTTGGCTTTGATGTCGACCCCTCTCTTGATGAGCTCCTCCATCCTGGCTGTATCATTACGCTTTGCCGCATCATGGAACTCCTTCTCCGAATGAAGCACTGCAACAAAGACAGAAGAGCTGGCATTAGAACAGCGCTGCCAAGGAGCCCAGAGCAGAACACCTAACAAACCTTCCCTTCGGCTTGCTGACCTCAGTGGCCCCAAGGAAGGAAGAACACAGAAGGACTTCTTCCAGCAAAAATCCCAGCCCTACAGGGCTTGGTGCGTTTATTGGACCTATCCTCTCCCACCGTCTCCCTTTCCCCGAGCACCCTTGTGCCACAACGGTGCTCTCCCAGTCCTGCCAGCTTCTCCTCTAATTCAGTGCCTCCTCTGTTCGCACAGATTTGTTCTAGCCCTTAAGCCTTTTGATCTGTTAGGTCTGGCCTCCTGTGAGGCCCAGGGCTGGCATGAGGACTCAGGCAGATGACACAGACTCTTCTTTCCCACTTTAGATCTTGCTGCTCTACAAAGAGGCCTTCCTCTACACGTGGTCCTGCTGTCCCAACCAAATGGGAACCCTTCCACAGTACCCTGAGTTGTCCAGGCAGCATAGAACTGCCAGCCTGGCCTCAGATTAGCGTAGTATCTTTTAACAGACTGTGGCTGCTTTATGCACAATTTAATACAAATAGGAGTGTTTGTCCTGAACAATTAGGCACACACTGAGAGATTTTACTCTTCATGCTGGGCCTTGCTCTGGCAATCTTCTCCTTGATCAAACAAACCTTCCTGCCAAGCAAAAAGAGCAAGGCCGGGATTCTGGGCCTGCTGCAGCCTGACAGGGAGGCTCTGAAGGTTTTTGGCAAGGCTAGTGTGCCAGTCCTTGTTGGACTCCGTCTCTGCCCTAATGCTTCGGGGAATTCTTTTGAAAAGTGCCTGAGTCAGTCCTGCAGCCTGTCACACCCCACTGAGGAGCTGACTTTGACACTCTGCCCTTTTCCACTTTTCTGTTCTTGAGATCGTATTGCAGAGAAGTTCTGCAGACGGCAAAGACCTTGGTTGCAATTCAAGGGTAGCAGGGGCTCAGTGCAAATCTAGCTTGTCTGTTCCCCCCCAGTAAAGATGCTGTGGCAATTCTAGGACCTGGCTTTTTGGGCTGAACACAGGTTCCCTGCAAATCAAAGGGCTCCAGCTGCAGACTCCCTGCCCACATTTAACACACTAATAGATTTCTTTCTGAATAGATGAGATCTGGCCTCAGGTTTCACCGATTCTATCTCCAGATTGTTTCCACAGGGTTTAACTCTTCACATAGCAGATTGATTTTCCACTGCAGTTATGAGTATGCTGCCTTTTCTCCCATGCACTTTTCCCCTTTCTCTCTCCTACTCCATTTCAGCAAGAGAAGGAAGAAGAGAAAGAGGAGGCAGGAATCTGAAGGACCGGTGTCTGCCCTGCAGAGGTAAGACACTCCTGGGAATGTCTATGTAGCACAGGAGATGCAATATCCCAGGTAATCCCTTAAACTGATCCCTGGCTTCTCCCTGGGCAAGACGGCACGTGTACACAGGCAGGGCAGCACCAGGGAGAGATACTGGCCAAAGTCCAGGAAATCATATCATCATGGAGCAAGGAGAAACACTCAGATTAATGAGTCTGGGCAGAGTAACTTATCTGGGTGACAAAGCCACTTTTAGCACACAACTAACCTGCGGAGGCTCAGATCTCAGATTGTTGCACTGCTTTACCTTGCAGAATATCCACGGCAGTACATTGATTTTTCATACACGTTTGTGTCAACCTAATCTGTTCAGGTTTTAACCCACACTTCAGTCTATACGTGGTTCTTTAATCACACATCTTTGCTGCTATCTTATACTCGTCCTAACTTTCAAAACCTTGTCTTTATGAGCACTTTCTGACTCGTTATGGTACTGTCCAGGATTGCCACCCTCTGGGAGCACAACCATCTTCTATATTTTGTTCTGTATTTACCACAAAGTTGTCCCAGTGTTGACTGAGACCCTGGGCAGTACCGAGTAGCTGAATAAAGGCAATCTCATTTTTGTAGACTATCACTTAGAGCCTTTTGAGGATGACACAGAGAGATTTTTATTACTCTTGCAATAGAGTGTGGAAAGGTCCTCAGGTGAACAGCTACAAGAGACACAAACAAAACCCAAGCTCACACAGCCAATGCAGAACATCAGCAAGCTGGTTCTGCTTATGTGTGGGAAAAACAACCTCCAAACAGCATTGCTTTCCACAGGTTGTCATGGCCTGGTTATCCTAAGAGTCACAACACAGCTGCCTTCCTTGACCAAAAATCAACCCCCTGAAGACCGAGCAGACCAGAAGGAAGGGCTGGACTAAGCAGAGAGGGGTTTGGCCTGATATACATGCTGCACAGGTGAACTCTGAGGGTGTTGAAAGGCAAATGATGCTGGGCAAGGTTCTCAGCTGTATGAATCAGCCTAATTCCACTAACTTCACTCCACGCTGATCTCCATACAGAGGAGCCTTTGCCTTAGCGTTAGCTGATGCATAATCCACTTGTCAGCATCCTACATTAACTCTGCACAGCTGCAAACACGCATGCGTAAGACTTCATTAACACCGAGAAAATATCAGCCAGACACTAACCACACATGATACAAGCAGCATCAAAACATGTTATGGTTCCTGTTTCAGTGCTGAGGAGCTAAACAAGAGACAGTGTGTAAACAGCACTACCGGTGTCTCTCTGGAGGGAGCAGGTGGGCTTTCCTGCTGGGGACTCCTGGACTGGAGAAAACTCCAGTTTTCTCATCGCCCCTTTCTCTTACTTCCAGGAAAAAAAATCTATAACCAAAATCTATAATCACAAATAACACAGATCTTAATACCAGGCAGGATCGTTCAAGAGTGCTGGACCTGCTGCTTCACTGAAGGCAGTAGGATTTGGCTTCTGAAGCAACAAATCAGAGTTTTCCATGCTGGATGCTGAGCCCCCGCTCTGTTCTGGGTGGGTACGTTAACGGGACTGCATTTTCACACCGCACCGACCCTTCATGGGGTGGAAATACCAGGAGAACTTGGAAAAACAAGTGGAGTTCATGTGAATTATTGATACCAATGGCTACACACTGGCTACCTCCTTGCAAACGCTTATCTCTGCTCAAGAGGGAAAACTCTGCTACGTTTCAGGTAAGCAAACATTCTGTCACCTGCTCTCAAGGGGACAGAAATTCACTTTACGAACGCACCACGTATCAGCTGATTTGTCAAGTAACGCCAAACCGTCACTTGATTTATTCTTTTCCTTTATCTGCTCTACTGCATCATCAAGACGCAGTTCCAGATCATCCCTCGCTGAGGCTATGGTAGCTGCTAGTTCGTTTATTTTCAGCAACAAACGGGAAAACAATTGGGTGGTCTCAACTCCTTCGCGTCCGCGCCAGCGAGACCAGGGCTGCAGGTGCTCAAGGCGCGCAGCCGGCCATGAGCAGCGCTTCACTGTTCCTCTAGCAGAAACGGGTTAAAATGGCCCCAAAGCCGGGGGGCGACCGCGGCGAAGCGACGCAGAAGCGGGAGACAGCGGCGCTGGGGGTACGCGCTGCGGTTGCTGACAGGCGTTTTGTGCCTTTTTTTTTTTTTTTGTTAAAAGCACTGTTAAAAGGG